TTCTTCCTGGAATTTCCTTCACTTGCATCTATTGTCCCAGAGTCCCCAGCATCTCTTCACTCTTCAAACATGCCTCAGACTAAATTAGATTACCTGTTAAATGCAGCCTTGGCACCAGATACCTTTTCCTCATAAACTACATAATGGTGTGTAATCATACATCCGTTTGCATAATTATTTGAACACTGTCTCCTCCACTAAAAAAATGTTTTTTAAACTTTTTTGACCTCGCCCCACAGTAAAAATAGCTTTTATATTATGTGTGATGCACTCTAATATTTTCTGGTTTATTTTATTCTCTTGTTATTGCAGGCACACACAGAAAATGCTGATTGCAGCTCAGTAATGGGTCATGACTAGAGTTTGAAAAACAACGTTCTGGAGTGTAATCTGTAGTCTCTTTAGTTCTCCATTTTATCTCCTGCTTCTAGCCCAGGGTTAGTGCTCAATACACGTTTGATTTTGAATAAAAGATGTAGGCTAGAAGCAGTGAAAAGCCACTGAAGGCCTTAACCAGGAGAGTTGTGCTATCAGATTTACTTGATGAATTTAAACCCCAAACCCCTCATTAACTGCAATGGCCTTGGACAAGTTAATTTCTGATTTTCATCTTTGAAAATGGGAACGGTAGAGAATTCTCTGGCGGTCCCATGGTTAGGACTCCGCACTTTCACTGCCAGGGCCCTGCTTTCACTGCCAAGGCCCCAGGAACTAAGATCCCGCAAGCCCTGTGGCTCCGAGGAAGGAGGGAGGGATGGAGGGAAAGAAGGAGGGAGGAAAGAAGGAAGGGAGGGAGGGAGGGAGGGAGAAAGGGAGAGACAGAGAAAAAGAGAAAGAGAGGGAGAGGGGGGCTTCCCTGGTGGCACAGTGGTTAAGAATCTGCCTACCAATGCAGGGGACACAGGTTCGAGCCCTGGCCCAGGAAGATCCCACATGCCACGGAGCAACTAAGCCCATGTGCCACAACTACTGAGCCTGTGCTCTAGAGCCTGCGAGCCACAACTACTGAGCCCATGTGCCACAACTACTGAAGCCCACGTGCCTAGAGCCCGTGCTCCCCAACAATAGAAGCCACTGCAATGAGAAGCCCGCGCACCGCACCGAAGAATAGCCCCTGCTTGCCACAGCTAGAGAAAGCCGCGCACAGCAACAAAGACCCAACGCAGCCAAAGATAAATAAAATAAATAAATTTATATATTAAAAAAAAAGAGGGAGAGAGAAAGACAGGTAGGCAGGCAGGGAAGGCAAGGCGGGAAGGAAGGACGAAAGAAAATGGGAACCATAATACATACCCTGCAGAGAGGTTTACTACTTTTATCCATGTTTACAGTGCCAGATACTTGGGAGTCACCCTGGACTTTTCTTCACACCCACCCTTGGCTTCTGTTTGTCTCCTCTTCTCTACCCTCAGCCACTGCCTTCTGGAGGCCTCAAACTTCTCCCATGACCATTCCAGAGAGGTTTCTTTTTCCCAAAGGATTCAATTCAGACTTTTGCCTGGCCTACATGGTTGTCTCAAGCCTAGTCCAGCCCATCTTACTAGATTCAGCTATACCTCTCTCTTCACACTTGAACTCTCCTCATTCGTGTCTGCCCTGGGAGAGACATCAGCATCTGCCTCCAGTATCTGCCCTTTGTTCTCTGCCAGGTGAACTGCTTATTCTTCATGACCCAGCTCACATGTCATCACCTTAGTTAGCTTTTCAGGGCTCTCTTCCCTTCCAAAGTATTCATTCAATCTGTGTTTATTAAGCAGCTTTTTCATGCTAGGCACTGGGACAGAACAAACAATAAGTAGACCCAGTTCTGCCTGCCTGGAACTCAACTAGCAAGCAAGCAGTTATTCATTCAACCCTTTTTGAACATCTGCTGACACAGGCACTACGGATAATCTCTGACAGGTACTTGCCTCAAAGCTGAGCTTACAGGCTGGTGCCTCTGTGCTCTACCTCCCTTTTCATCCTTCCGCCACACGTGTTCACAATGTGCTGTAATTTTTTTTTTTGGCTGCGTTGGGTCGTCGCTGCACACGGGCTTTTCTCTGGTTGCGGCGAGCGGGGGCTACTCTTCGTTGTGGTGCGCAGGCTTCTCATTGCGGCAGCTTTTCTTGTTGGGAGCATGGGCTCTAGGCACATGGGCTTCAGTAGTTGTGGCTCGCAGGCTCAGTAGCTGTGGTGCACGGGCTTAGTTATTACACAGCATGTGGGATCTTCCCAGACCAGGGCTCGAACCCGTGTCCCCTGCATTGGCAGGCAGATCCTTAACCACTGTACCACCAGGGAAGCCCAATGTGCTGTAATTAATTGTGGCTTTCTTTAGCTCCTGTAGACCTGGAGTGTAATATCCCTTACTCATCTTTACATTTCCAACTTCTGGGCTGTTCTGTCATCAACTATTTTTGGACCTCCAGAGTGATTCAGACCTAATCTTTCCCCAGGTTATGGCTTTCAAAGATGATGAAGAGGGGTGGGGTGAGGTCACAAAAATGTACATTGAATGAAAAAAAGACCTCACATTTGAAGCTCATTGAAGATGGGAAAATGGGGGACTTCCCTCGTGGTCCAGTGGGTAAGACTCCACACTCCCAATGCAGGGGGCCCAGGTTCAATCCCTAGTCGGGGAACTAGATTCCGCATGCATGCCGCAACGAAGATCCTGCATGCTGCAACTAAGACCCGGCACAGCCAAAATAAATAAATAAATATTAAAGAAAATAATAATATAAATACGTATTCATTTAAAAAAAAGAAAATGGGATGGTAAGCTCCTTGGGCTTGGAGGTGTGCAAGCAGGAACTCCTAGGTAGGTGGAAGTTTGGCTAGTTGGTCTCTATACTCCCAGGTGAGGTGTGGAGTCATTCACTCTTCCATTCTCCCCAGCTTTTCCTACTCCTGCCAAGAGGGAGAAACCAAGGAGCACTGGTCCTCAGGTCACCACCTCAAGTCCTGCCGAGCCGTTGTCTTCTCTGAAGATGGGCAGAGTGAGTATTAGGAAAGGCAGCCAGCAGTGTGGTGGTGGGAAGGGAGCAATGAACAGCACCATGACCTGGGCATTTCCCCCTCCCTCCCCACAGAACTTGTTACTGTGTCCAAGGACAAAGCCATCCATTTTCTAGATGTGGAGCTGGGACGACTGCAAAGACGCATTTCCAAGGCTCACAGGTAAGGGGAAGCCAACTGTGTGTGGAGACAAAAGGGTAAGGATTGATTGGTACATCCCTACTGGGACAAAGGTGCTCGAAGAAGTTCTGTATCTGTGTCTCTAGTGCCCCCATCAACAGCCTGCTGCTGGTAGATGAGAATGTTCTGGCAACTGGGGATGACACAGGTGGCATCCGCCTCTGGGACCAGCGGAAGGAGGGCCCCTTAATGGATATGCGGCAGCATGAGGAGTACATTGCTGACATGGCTCTGGACCCAGCCAAGAAGCTGCTGCTGACAGCCAGGTACAGCCTCAAAGCTGCATCCCCTCTCTTCCCTGTGTTAAATGTTTCCCTTGGTGGGTACCTCCAGCCAAGCCTGCTGCTTTGCTCTCTCTACAGTGGAGATGGCTGCCTTGGTGTCTTCAACATCAGACGACGCCGGTTCGAGTTGCTCTCCGAGCCTCAGTCTGGAGACCTGACCTCTGTCACACTTATGAAAGTACAGCTGGGTGGGGTGGGATGGGGGTGTGCAATAGGGACTTGGTTTGATGTGCCTCCACAAATATGGTTTGCCCTGTTTCCCTGCAGTGTGGGAAGAAGGTGGCCTGTGGCTCCAGTGAAGGTACCATCTACCTCTTCAACTGGGATGGCTTTGGGGCCACAAGTGACCGCTTTGCCCTCAGAGCTGAGTCCATTGACTGCATGGTTCCAGTCACTGAGAGTCTGCTGTGTACCGGCTCCACTGATGGAGTCATCAGGTGAGAAGCCAGATGGCCCTCCAGTCATAGGAAAGGCAGACCTAACTGGCCCATACTGAACACTTTTCTTTCTGTCCAGGGCTGTCAACATCCTGCCAAACCGAGTGGTGGGCAGTGTGGGCCAGCATGCCGGGGAACCTGTGGAGAAGCTAGCCCTCTCCCACTGCGGCCACTTCCTGGCCAGCAGTGGCCATGACCAGCGCCTCAAGTTTTGGGACATGGCCCAGCTGCGGGCTTTGGTGGTGGATGACTACCGCCGGCGCAAGAAAAAGGGAGGGCCACTACGGGCGCTGAGCAGCAAGGCCTGGAGCACGGATGACTTCTTTGCAGGACTGAGGGAGGAGGGAGAGGATGCCACAGCTCAGGAGGAAGAGGAGCAGAGTGAGGATGACAGTGACTGAGGGGATGAGCTGAATCTCAGGATGGGTTCTCAACGGACAAGAGTCTTGCTTTCTGGGCTGGATCCCTAGAGAGGCTGGGAATTTAAAATATCCTATTGTGCACAAGAAGATGCTCAGGATCGGCACACTGATGTGGGGAAGTACTTGCGCTGTAGCAGCTGCTCACTCCACCAGTGTTAGACAAGCCCACAGCTGGCACAAGACAGCACGGACACAGGTGTAAACCAACCAGGGGTTTAATATAAATACAACCAGCATAGAAAAACTCAAAACTACGCATACACCAAAACCAGAATGCCAAGTGGTTGGGGCAAAGGCAGATTTCTGACCCTTTGGCTCAGCCAGCCCCCAAATAAAAACATCAACAAAGACAAATCAAGAAAATAAGAAGCAAAGATTCATGCTAAGCTGTGGGAGAGGTGTGTGTGTGTGCGACTGTGTGTCAGAGAACCACCCTGGGGTCAGGTTAAACCCCAGGCTGGGAGGGAGGAAGGAAGCTCCCTCACCACAACTTAGCCAAACTTGAGCTGTGCCGAGGTGCTGTGGGCCCTGCCTCAGCTGGGAGGCTGTGTCAGGCCTAGGGCAGGGCCCATGCTCCTCCCCTTCTTGGGATCAGATAGCAGCTGCCCAGGCCTGCTGGGCCAGGGACTGACACAGGCTCTGCCTACTGATTCAGGCTGCCTGGGGAGAGGATTAGGTCACTGCTGAACACTGGTACCTCCTGCCTCAGCCCCCGGCGACCAGTCTGGCCCCAGACTCAGTGCCTCCAGCAGCCTTGCAGACACAGCATCCTTGGCCGCCTCATGCCCATCCTGCCCACTGGCGGCCAGCACAACCCAAATGAGGCCACTGAAGGGCACTGGATGCCCAGGGATCACCACCTGGTACCAGAATCGGTGCCAGCCAGCAGAGCTTGTGCCCAAACACTTGGTGAGGAACAGTGGGCTGCCCAACTTCATCCGTTGGCACAGCAGCTGCAGGGCAGCCCGAGCACCTTGGGACTCCAGCCCCTTGTCCCTGGCCAGGGCTACTTGGCTGCCCTCTGGCTGTAGGCACTGTAGAGAGGGACACTTGAGCTGCTGGCGGAGTTGCTGCTTCAGGTCTGGCTTAAGCCACTCCACGGCCACCTGTTCTCCACAGAGGCGTGACTGCCCTGTAGGAAAAAGGCAGAGACAGGGCGGGGTCTAAGCCCTGGGCCCAAGCACAGGAGTCCTCTGGAGTCACACAAGCCTGTTTAATTTGTAGCCTCCCCATTTCCTGGTGTAAAACCAGGCAAGTTAAATAACTTCTCTAGGCTTCTTTGTGTTTTCTTACAAAGGGAGAGCAATAACTGCTACCTTCTAAGTTTCCTTGGAGTACTGGCTGATTGCAGGCTTTGTCTACCTCATAACCATCAGAATAGCTAACCTTTACCATGAATACTTGCCAAGAACTACAAAATGTGCTAAAAGCTGCTTAATTCTCAGTTTCAGGAAGCAGGTTCTACAGTGGATGCAAGGTAGGCTCAGTTGGATTGCCTTGGGCAAGTAAATTTTTCTTAAAAGTCTCCTATCTAAAGAGGAACAACGTTCTATGTTTCACTGCAATGTGGAGGGTTAAGTCAGGAGATAGTGCATGTGAAGTGTGAAGTTTAGGTGAGTGGTAGCTGGTAGCACCGGTGGAAATTTAAAAACGTGAGGTCAGATAGTCTGTCTCAAACTCAAGTGTGTTTGACCCTAAGGTCTCGCGACTTTAACCCGTTATGCTGATCTACGCTGACGTGTTGAAGTAAAGTGCCGGGTAGAACGCGTTTAGCCCCAACCAGCGGCCTCCCGCAGTCTCCACCCCTACCTTCCACCAGGGCCTTCTTGGCCATGGCTGCGGCGCGGTGCGAGCTGAACTTGAGCAATGCGATCTGCGCGGGCGCCGGCCCGGGGCTGGGCAGCAGCAGCGCCTCCTGCAGGCCGGGCCCCAGCGGCTGCAGCGCGAGCAGCAGCGCTTGGCGGCTCAGGCCCGGCGGCAAGCCGTCCACACTTAGCTCGCACTTCTCGGTGCTGCGGCACACGAGCAGCGGGCAGGACGGCCGCAGCGGGTGGTTGTGCAGCGTGGCGATGGCGGCCTGGGCGCCGCGTCGCGAGCTGTAGCGGGCGTAAGCGAAGCCGCGGTTCAGGCCGCTGAAGGTCATCATCAGGCGGAACTCGTAGAGGCGGCCCACGCGCTGGAACAGTGGGATCAGCTGGTGCTCGTACACATCCTGGGGCAGCCGCCCGATAAACACTTCTGACCCGGCCGGCGGCGGGCTGCCCACCCATCCTGGGCGAAGGGGGTGGGGAAGGGCACCGTCAATCACCCGGACGGTTCCGGGGTCGAGGTCCAGGAACCGAGCGCAGGAGGGAGTATGTGTGCAAACGTCTGTGAAATGGTTACAACACCCGTACGCCCCGGGTCGTTGGCGTAACTGGGTGACTGAGCCATCAACGGGGCTGGCACCTTAAGACTGGCTCCCTTCCTCGAGGGGGCGGGTGGG